CCCAAAAGATACTGAAATCGATGAAATACCAGATAAAGAATTCAAAAGAATTATTCTAAAAATAATCAGTAAATTTCAAGAAAACACCGAAAAACAACTGAATGAAGTAAGGAAGTCACTACAGGATGTGCATGATAAACTCAATACGGAAGCAGAAATAGTGAACAGGAACCAAACAAATCTGGGAGATAAAAGACACAATAAATCAAATGAAATGTTCACTTGGAATTCTAATAGAGTGGACCATACTGAAAACAGGATCTCAGAGCTGAAAGACGAGAGGCCAACCTTGAACATTAGACACCATTAAACTGAACCATTAGGAGCATCAGGAGCATTAGGAGACCACGTTTAAGAATCAGTGGGACTGAGGAAGGTGTGAGAGGCAGGCTAAGGGACAGATGACCTCTTCGAGGACATAGTAACAGCAAGTCTTACAAACCTCGAGAACGGGATGGACCTCCAGGCACAGAAGCAATCAGAACCCCAAACAGATGAGGTCAAAAGCACCTCCACGACACATTACAATTAAAATGCCTGACATACAGAACAAGGAGGAAATTCTTAAAGCCTCAGAAGACAGACGTCAGGTCGTATTTAGAGGCAAGACAATCAGAATCACTTCCAATTTCTCAGCACAAACTCCAAAAGCCAGAGGGCTTGGAATGATGTGCTCCAAGTACTGAAAGAAAATAACTGTCCACCAACACTATAGCCAGAAAAGTTATCACTTAAAATCAAAGAAGAAAATTAAAACCTCTAATACAAGCAGAAACTAAAAGAATTCATGACAACCAAACTGGCACTAGAGAACTTCAACAAATCAAAAACAAACCCAGAGTTGACAAGTGAACAAACCTCAGTTAAAGAGTAGCTAAGCAAATGAGAAACATGGCCAAATCAAACATATCAACCAAAATGGCAGGAATTAATGAACATCTCTCTGGAATAATAACAAATGCAAATGGTATCAACTCTCTAATTAGAAGACATAGGCTGGCAGAATAGATAAAAAAGCAAGATACAACTATATGTTCTTTGAAAGAGATACATCTTACGGGCAAAGACAGCCACCGGCTAAAAGTGAAAGGATGGGAATTGACATACCACGTGAGTGGAGTCTGAAAACAAGCAGGAGTAGCTTCTCTCATAGCTGAAAAAGCAGATTTCACACCCAAATTAATCATAAGAGACAAAGAAGGTCACTTCATACTGGTAAGGGGAACAATCCAACAAGAAGATATAATAAGTATTTATGTCCCCAAAGTACATGCAACTAATTACATAAAAAGGACACTACTCAAATTGAAGCCTCAGATAGACCCTGGTACAATAGTACTTGGTGACTCCAACACACCTCTTTTGCCATAAGATAGGACATCCAGACATGAAATCAGTAAACACTCTTTGGACCTGACAAATGGTACAAATCAAATGGATTTAACAGACAGCTACAGAATATTTCATCCAACATCAGTTAGATACATTTTCTTTATAGCAGCTCATGAAAACTCCGAAATAGACCATATTTTAGGCCACAAAGCAAATGAAAAAAAGAAAAGATATAATTCCATGCATCTAATTGGACCACAATGGGATGAAATTAGAAATCAACACAGCAAAATGTTACAAAATCTACATACATACATGGATACTGAACAATACACCTCTGAATGATGAATAAGTGATAAAAAGAAATTGAGGGAGAAATTTAAAAATTTTGGACACAAATGAGAATAGTGACACAACATACTCTGGTACACTATGAAGGCCGTTCTCAGAGAAGAGTTTTTAGCTCCAAGTGCCTACATAAGAAAACCAGCAAGATCCCAACTAAACAACCTGAGGATGTATCTCAAGTTCTTAAAAAGGGAGAACAAACCAATTCCAAAACCAGAGAAGAAAGGAAATAACTAAAATCAGAGCCCAAATCAATGAACCTGATTAAAAAAAAAAATACAAAGGATTGATGAAAGGGCTGGGGATGCAGCTCAGTTGGTAGAGTGCTGGCCTCGCATGCACAAGGCCTGGGTTCAATCCCCAGCACCACCCAAAAACAAAGGACTGATGACATACAGAGTTGGTTCTTTGAATAGATAAACAAGATTGAGAAGCCCTTAACCAAACTAACCAAGGGAAAGAGAGAGAAAAACCAAAGTAATAAAAGCAGAGATGAAAAAGGAGAGATCGGCACAGACATCTCAGGACTCCAGCAGATCATCAGGGCTGTTTTGAAAACTTACACTTCAATAAATTGGAAAACCTAGAAGAAATAAATACATTTCTAGACGCAACCAGGCAAAATGGAGTCAACAGGGCATAAAAACCTAACAGACCAATGATCAGCAATGAGATACAAGCAGTAATAAAAAGTCTTCCAACAAAGAAAAGGCCAGGATCAGATGGGTTCTCAGTCGAACTCTACCAGATCTTTACAGCAGAACTGATGATGACACTCCTGAAATCAGTCCATGAATTAGAAAGGGACGGAACATGTTCAAATTCATTCTATGAAGCCAGTATCACACTGATACCCAAACCAGATGAGAACACACGGAAGAAAGAAAACTACAGACCAATGTCTCTGATGATGCAAAAATACTTAGTAAAATATCAGCAAACCATGTTGATTGAACAACGTAAGAAGATTATACACCACAACCTAGTTGGTTTTATTCCAGAGGTGCAAGGATGATTTAACATTTGAAAATCAATAAATGTGGGATTGGGGTTGTGGCTCAGAGGTAGATTGCTTGCCTATCAAGTGAGAGACCCTGGGTTCGATCCTCAGCACCATATAAAAATAAATAAATAAAGGTATTGTGTCCAACTACAACTAAAAAATAAATTTAAAAAAAATCAATAAATGTAATTCAACACATAAAGAGAATTAAGGACAAAAATCATTTAGTTATCTCAATAGATGCAGATAAGTCTTTCAACAAAATTCAGCACCCATTTATGATAAAATCTCTGAAGAAACGAGGGATAGAAGGAACCTACCTCAACATCATAAAGGTCATATATAAAAAAGTGAAAGCCAACCTCATAATAAATGGGGAAAACCTGAAAGCATTTCCTTTAAAACTCAAACAAGACAAGGATGCCCACTCTCACCACTCCTACTTAATAGAGTGCTAGAAATTCTAGCCAGAGCAATTAGGTGAGAGAAGGAAAGAAAAGGGTTGAACATAGGAAAGGAGTCAGTCAAATCATCACTATTTGCTGATGATGTGCACATATACAGACAGTCCGAACACCCCACCAAAGGACTGCTAGACCCAATAAACAAATGTGGCAAAGTAGCAGGTTATGAAAATCAACATACAAATATCAATAACTCCCCTACATACCAACAATGAATCTGCTGAGAAAGAAATCACAAAAACAATTCCAATCACAACTGCCTCAAAAAAAAAAAAAAAAGAGTATCTAGGAATAAATCAAACCAAGAACACTGAAGAAGGCACAGAAGACGAAGCCCCCTCGCATCCCAAGTCCATGGATAGGCAGAATTAATAGTCGAAATGGCCACGCTACCAAAAGCAATATCCCCGTCAAAATGCCAAATGACGTTCTTCACAGAACTAGAAAAAACAGTCCTGAAATTCATTTCGAAGAACAAAACACCTAGAACAGACAAAGCAATTCTAAGCAAAAAAAAAAAAAAGGCAATGTTGGAAGCATCACCACGCCTGACTTCAAAGGATGTGACAGAGCTACAGTGACCAACACAGCAGCAGGTACTGGAGTGTGCGTGATGGTGCACAGAGACCGCGGTGCAGGTCGAAGACACAGAAACAACCCCTCAGAGGAAGTCACCTGACCCTTGACACAGGTGCCCAAAACGGACCCTAGGGAAAGACAGCCTTTTTAACAAAAGGTGCTGGGAAAACTGGTTTTCCACGTGTAGAAGGCCGAAATCAGATGCATCTCTCTCACCCTGCACAAAATCAACCCAGAATGGATCAAAGGCCTCAGAGTAGACCAGAAGCCACGCAGTTCCTAGAAGAAAACGCAGGGTCAGCACTCCAGCTTTCAGGCCCAGGCAACGACTTTTTCAGTCAGACCTAACACTCAAGAAATAATGCCACAAGTTAATGCATCAAATTAAAAAGCTTCTGCACAGTGAGGGAAACAACAGGAATATGAAGAGAAGGGGAGCAGGCGGAGGGAGGCAGAGGGGGACGTGCTGGGGAGTGGCTAGACTCCGTTTAATGTTGTGCACCGTGCAGTGTGTAACACGTCTCATCAGCTTCTACGACCCTAATGCCCAATAAAAACTGTGGGGGAAAATGAAAGCAGTAGCATCATTACAGATTCTACTGTTATTGAGAAGGTAAGGAAATACTATCAACACAATGCCCATAAATTCAACAACTCAGATGAAATGGACCAATTCCCTGAAAGACAGACGCTCAAAACAGTCAAGAACATCACCCGAGAACGATCTCTGTAGCAAAGCATGCAGGTGTGGCCTAGACCCAGGGTATAAAATAAACATCCACTCTGACAAGAGCGGTTTCAAGAACCAGGTGTGCGCGGGAGAAGGCACCCATCTCCCAAAAGGCAAAGCCCAAGCTGCTGGGGGCGGGCACTGCATTCCACATGCAGCCTCAGCCCACGTGGCAGTGTAGGGACCCCTCCTCAGGGGCAGCCCAGCGGAGCATGAGGCCCCCAGCTGCACACCCTGCAGCCACCTAGTGAGAGGCCAGACACACGCACTCTCTTCCCAGGACCCACATCCCGTCCTCCATGGGAACAGCATCATGCGACACCCAGCTGGGGTGTTCCACGACACACCTGACGGTCCACCTGCTGGCAGAGCAGAGGAATACCAGAGCCCAGGGAGACCCCACACCCCACATGAAGTGGGGCCCAGAAGGTTCCAGGAGGAAACAGGCCCCTGTGAAAGGCACCATCCAACAGAATCAGAGCGGGTACCACAGCTGTGAGATCGCCAGGACCCATATTAAAAAGAGGAGGAGGAACAGGCAAAATTTCAACAATATATTTTATTTAGCCAATTATATACAAAATATTATCACTTCAACATGTGATCCATGTGAATAAAACATGGGAACATTCACCTTCCTCCTTCATACTAACTACACAGTCTGAGATCTGGAGTGTGTCCCCCACTCCACACTCTTCAGTCCAGAATGGACACATTCCAAGTGCTCCCAGCCCCCGATGGACACAGACCCGGAGACTGACAGCGGTGACCTCTGAGCATGGCCAGGCCTTGCACCCTGTGGAGCACGCTGCCCCCGGAGGCCCTGTGGGTCCAACACAGGCAAGCACAGCACCTCTGCTCAAGGTGGGCACCTGCAGCATCAGTCTGGACTGTCCAATCCTACAAGCTGCAGCTTGAGAGATGCTGTGCTCGCCATGGACGTAGACAAAGGCTCCATGAGGATGAGCACAGACTCTCGTAAACATTCAACACGACACACACAGGTACACTCGTGTGTGTCTGTATGTGGACGTGTGTATGTGTACATGCGTGTATACACACATGAATACATATGCCACACTGGGAGGAAAGATTTGCAAAGCAATTATCTGATAGAAGACTTTTGCCCAGACACATAACAGATTGTGGAAACTCAGGAGGAAAACAACCTAATAAATACACAGGCCAAGGCTCCTGACAGAGGCTGCCCATGGTGTTCAACTCCAACACGCTCAGGGCAACGTGAGCTACAGCCACGTAACACCCCCACAGACGAGAACGCCCACCGTGACAAGCACCAGGAGCAACCCAGCCTTGCACTGAGAACTGAGCAGTCCCGCGCCTCCTGCACCTGACCACCATAACCCCAGGGACTGGCACCACACATGCAGCCAGGGGACCATCCACTCGGCACCTTCACTGCAAGATTAAAACACGGGAACATTCGATGGTCAGCAGGCAAAGGGCCAGCCAGCTGTGCTGATCCCGGGGAAGACTCAGGTAAGGAGCAGAACCGGCTCTCCCAGGCAACAGCAGAGAGTGAACCTCAAGATTGACCTGTGGTTAGTGGGAGGCCAGACACGGGCACAGACACAGCACTAGTGGAACTCTAGAAAACAGGAGACCAGACGGGCTGCCTGGAGCTGGGATGCCACGGCAGCAAGGGGGGCAGGCATCTCCAGGACGCCTGGGCGACAGATGTGTCCTCACTGAGTCAGGCGCTGGCGTGGGGCAACATACAGCAGGTGACCTGCCTGGGAGGTAGCCTCCCACACCTTTCCTGGGTCTCCATGTGCACGAGTCCCGTGCTCCTCCTCTGTGCGTGTGTGGCGTGCCTGGACTCGCTTTTTATTCCAGTCATTCCCAGGGCCAGCTGCCACTAGGACACAGACCTTGTCATCAGCAACCAGGCTCCCAGGCTGTGTCTGTCTCAACCACTGTACTGCTGCTTCTCACTGTCACCTCTGACACCCTCCCTTCACAGGTCAGTCCTAGAGGATGCTGCTCACGTGTTAGGTGGCCTAGGATTATAAGAGACTGCACTTTCCTAGCAGCCTTAATGTTTTACTTTCACCTTTAAACCATTCAAGCCATCTGAATTTTTCCTGGAATCTGAATTAAAGCTCTTAATTTTTTTCAAATGGTTTGCCCCAAACCATGTACTCCAAAGCACTTGAAGTGGGAACCAAACATCTCACACCTCCGAGGTGGGTCTTCTCCGACACGGAGCCTCCGTGAGCCTGCACCACGGCACTGCTCCGTCCACTGAGGGTTCTTCTGACTCCTGTCTAGCACCCTTTACATACCAGTCTCAACACGCTGCACACGGTGCAGCCAATTCCCCTTTGTTTTTCTTTTATTCTTTTTCAAAAAGGAAAAGGAAAAAAGCAAAACTCCCAGAAATTCTGAAGCTGAAACAATATCCATAGTCACGAGAAAAGCTGACAGGACAGAACCACACGAGTCGAAGACCCTGACAGTGCCCCGTGGACGGCGTGGCTGGGTCACAGCAAGGGGGTGTGGTCAGGGACAGGCTGACAGTGAGCCGACCCCACGCGCACTCGCCTGTCACACAGCCACCACGAGGTGGGTTCTGCGGGGAAGCTGCACCTTGCAGAAGAGCAGGAGCAAGTCAGCTGGGCCTGGAGGCGCACCACCGCCCGGTCAGGGAGAGGCAGAGCGAGTACAGACAAGAGTACAAGAAGGGAAGGGGCGCAGCGCACCGGGGACACTGGGAAGGCCACAGGGGCATGGATGCGGAAACCACACCAGCACATGCCAGAGCCTGGGAGAGCAGAGCAGAGCAGTCCAAGGCTGCCCGGGCCACCTTACAGCAGGGCACCAGCAACAACACCAGAGCAAGACGGTGACCTCCCTGACGGGACGCTCGTCTGGCCAGCTGCCCCTTCTCCCCTCCCGCCAAGCTGAACCCATAGGTCCTGCCGGCTCCAGCAGGGCCAGCCCTGCCAACCATCCACACCTGAATGCGCTGTCTGATCCAGGGTTCCCTCCAGCCTGCACATCCTCAGCCCCTCTACACGTCCTCCTAATGTCCGTGCGTCCACTGGAGCACATGAATACCACAAGTGAGACCATACTTCCAACAGTGGCAGCCACACCTGAGCTGGACAGGAAAAACAGCAGATTATCATAATCACACTTAAACCAAACTGGAGCAGCCTGGGAGCTAACTGGAGCACAGCAGGCAGGCCCTGAGGACACTCGCCAGGGGCCACTCCACTCTGGGACTGAGCCTCGCACCTCCTGAGTGACAGAGGTGGCTATCGGCTGAGGACTCCTCACCCAGCAGGGAGTGGGGGTCCCTTAGGTTCTGCACTGGAAGTCGCACACAGCCTGGTTTTTTGGTTTCACAAATTAAATAATTCCTATGCTGCATCACGTTAAATCCAATTCAACCCCCCACCCCAGGCCTGGCAAGGGACCATCTCTTCACAGACTACTAAGAGATAAGCAGTGCGTCTGAAAGATGGTTGCCTTTAATTCTCTAAGTTTTCATTTATGCAACATAAAAAAGGCAGATTTATGTGACCTGATATGACATTTTTACAAAAACAGTTCCCCCCAACATCTGGTCAGTGGTATATAAATATTTACAATGAAAAAATAGGCAAGGGAAAAGGAAACCTTCATTATCCAAGTCGATTTCTTTCCAATGCTTGTCAGGATTCTGAAAATAAAATTCTTACTTTGGAGTTATTTGTATCTACACACTGCTTCAGCTGACAGTTTTGAGCAATCTGGCTGCACTGTTTGAGGTCTCTGTTCTATATCGTGCCTACTTGTTTCTGTACTGTTTTAGAAGTTATCTAAAATAGTAAACTAAATATAAAAATGTGACTTTGGAAGAAAAAGTCAGAACAGACGTATGTGAAGGCAACGCGTTAAGACACAAACGCTCTCAGGGGTCAGTATGTCACAGCATTAAAACCAAACAAATGCTCTGTGTATTATCTTAGTAGGGACGTCTTTTTTCAGTTTAATTTCATTATGATAACAAAAATTGCCTCTAAAGAGGATGTTAAAAAAATAGCCTTGACATTACCATTTCAATTCATGAATACAGCACTGCCCTTGTGCTAAAAGAAACACAAGTTTCTAAAAAAGTGACAAATATAAACGACACAGAGAGCTTAGGCAGCCCAAAACACCCCGGCATCTTCTGAGTGGGAAGACAGCGCCAGCTAGCCTCTTCGACCCAGCAACCTGGCACTCAACTGCAGCGCAAAACCCCTTCCGCCAGCCACCCTGCCACGAACACAGGGCCCCCTCCCAGCTGCCGGGAGGGCCCAGAATGTGAACTGAATCTCAGCGCTGACCACAGCAACCTGCGCAGCTCCTCGGGAGAAGGCGCCCGTCACATGTGAGAACTGCGCCGCCCTCTGGTGCCCAGAGACACGCGGAGTCTGGGCTCTCTGGCTTTATAATGCTCGTTGAAGTCCAACCTGAAGCTGAGAAACCGGAGACTTTCGTCAGAGCTGGTCGTCAGTAACACCAGGAACTGCTGCACGATGCCCTGCAGAGACAACAGCAGTGGGACACTTGTTTAGAAGCGAACCACCCACCAGCTCCTGACTCCTCCAGGCCCCTAGGCTGGTTCTTCCTTCTGCCAAGAGCCTGCAATGTACCCTCAGCAGGCATCAGGGACCTGGGGCTGGAACCTGGAGCTGGTTCCGCCAATGCCACAGCACCCGGAGCTCAGTTTACAAACACAATTAGCAATGTAAAAACCAACAGACTTTTCCTTTCGGTACTGAAGTTGTACAAAAATAAACAAAATCCTGTAGAAGCACTCGATCCTTCCTGCTCTGAATCTAAACCTGGTGCTGGCTTTTCACTCCCCACGTGAGGCTGCAAGCACGTCCACCACAGAGCTCTGAGGGGACACAGGCTGAAAACATGCAAGCTGACCCGGACAGGGGCCGGAGAGCAGGCTGCACTCGAGGCCATGGTGGGACACGCCATCACCTCTGCCAAGGAGCTTTGTAAAGAGGCCGCAACAGGACGCGAGCTGTCCCATAGTCTAATACAAGAAGCCGCCTGCTCAGGGTCACAGGGTCCTGTGCGGTTCCACTGTGACTACACCACCAGCACGAGCTTATCTGTAAGGGGCTGCTCTTCACCTCTGTGGCTTCAGCTGTCTTGGAAGAGCCTTCCACAGGAAAGAGACACAGGCACCTACAGTCTTCTCTGTGGCCACCCCTCTGCCGGGCTGGAGTGGCAGGTGCAGGCACTCAGACCCACACAGGACCCACCTGGGGCACACACACCCTGCAGCGTGCTCAAGTTTCCAGTGTCTGTGTAGGTGACAGGACAGCCACTAGAATGATAAGAGACTGGCTTCCTGTGACAAGCAGCACCTAACACCCAACTGTCTCAGTACGCCGGAGCGGAGAAACGGCCTTTTGCTGTCAAGGAATTTGAATGGTAATGATTTACCAAGATTAAGACTGCAATTTCAACAAAATCGGGATTAGACTAATTAAGATTACTCTTTAAGATCTATATCAACTCCATCAGGGAAATATGTAACCATAAACTAGACCACTCTCTCTCTGAAACGGGCAATTAGCCCAATTCTTTAGATCATACAGTATTGCTCTGTGGCTACACAACTATCTTATTTTGGCAGCACAGAGCTAGTCACAGGTGTCCACTTTTAGCAAGCAGGCAACCGGCCCGGGTGGAGAAGGGATCTTGAGCCCAGCACCATCCCGCACAGGCACATCTGCTCTGGGCCGGGACAGCTCCTCCACGGGCCCCGTGGTCTGGTGTGGTGTCTGCAGGCTGGAAACAGGCCTCAGGCCCCAAGTGCCAACCTCCCTGTTGGGCTTCTTGTCGAGGCTGCCCATAGGAGCCCATTCAGACCTGTCTCCCAGTAGGCCCCTGGGCCCCTGGGCCCCTGGGGCTCCATCCTGGCCACCACTCACATCTATACAAACCAGAGCCATTCGGAGGGAACCAGTTCTTTGAAAGCAAGAGAAATTTCTGTCACTTACAGGAAATGCCAACACCCACCTGGTAGAAGTGCGTCAATATTTGCAACTGCGAACACATTTTTGGTACAGAGTCTTGAAATTCTCGGATCCTCCTATTCTCCTCCTCTTCCTCCACTGCCGTCACCCCCCACTGACCCTGAAGAATCAAAATCACCAAATTTAATTTCTTGATAAATACTTGCTTTTAGTACCTACAGTATCACACTATACAGCAGGCAACAACCTATGTGATTCACCCAGGCTGCCCGTCTTTCCCGACTACAGATGCACAGCCTGACATCCTCCTGAAAACACAGGTGAGAGTGGACTCCAGGCGGGGCACCGCCATGTCCCTTAGGACAGGCTTAATTCATTCCTGAGATGGAGGCAATTCTACTAGAGACATTTCCACCTACTTCTATTTTTAGAAAGGTGATTTCCAATCAGTGGTGACTTAAATAAATGCCTTTTTCGACCAGCAATGTACAGGCGTTACTGAACTCATCTCTCTTTAGTAACTTACATGGAGGAGTACTCTAGACCCTACACTGAAATATAAACATGCTCCTTTGCTGCAGCAGAAAGCATAAAAAGATACAGAGCTCATACATGGACAGCCTACAGCCTCCTCGTCACATGGAGACGCACACATGTGGCCTCACCCAGTGGGATGGGGACCGGCAGCTGCAGAGCTGCAGGGGTCCCCCAAGAGTGAGGCGATGGGCCAGATGCTCACAGGCCCAGCACACATCACTGCCCACGCATCCCAAAGTGTCTGCTCCAACCTGCCCTCCACCAGCAGTGCCAAGTTCTCACTGGCTCCACCTACCCACAGTGGACACTGTCAATCTTCAAAACGTTGGCCTTTTGTGTGCACATATGAGTACGTAGGAACAAACCCCACCATCGTGCACAGCTACAATGCTCCAGTAAAAAAGGTAGGAAAAAGAAAAGCTCAGGAAACAAAAACAAGGTCAGCCATTCTGCCTGGTGCAGTACAGATGACTGGGGTTTAGTCTCGAGTTACTGGTGGTTAACACGGATACTTCTCATCAATTGAAGGCACATGGTTCCTGGGGTCGTCGCATGGACTTGCAGCTGCGCTCACGCATTCTGGATGAGCTGACACCTGTGTGGATGCAAACAGCTTCTCCAGCTGAGCTGGCGGTATGTGCTGATGTTACGTGCCAATGACAGATGTTACTAACTGGGATGTAAGATCAACTTAACTTCTTTTATAATTACCCAATTGAAAGGTCTCCTACCCTCACGGTCACGATGATACTTTATGCCCTCTGAAGCTCTAGTACCTCACCTCTGCACTTGGGTGTAAAACCCTGCCCTGGCTCCTGTGTGTGCGTGCACAGAAAGGTCAAGGAGCTCCCTAACGCTGCCGACTGATGCCCCTGCCTGCTCTTCTCAGTGCCACCTCTGGACACATGGGGCCATTTCTGGATGATTCTGCTCCACTGATCTTTCCTCCAGCCAGTATCATTCTTTTAATTACCATAACTTCATTGTAAGTCTTGAGTATAAACTCGTCCATCCATAACCATGGGGGACAGTGCCAGGAGCCCTAGTGGACACCCAAATCCACAGATGCTCGAGTCCTTATCAAGAGGGCAGTGCTCACACAGGACACGCACACACCTCACCGCACTCTGAACTGTCTCTAGACACTTACAGCACCTGACACCATGTACGTGCTAAGCACACAGCGGTCACACTGCGTTGTCTCAGGGATATGACAAGGAAAGAAGGCTGTAGTGTTGAGCACCGGTGCAATTTTTTTCTCCCAAACATTTCCGACCTGCAGAAGGCTGAGTCTGTAGATGCGGGGACAGCTGTGTGAGTGTCCTCAATTACTCATGCCGATCCCTGTTCAGCTGACTCTTCCCTAAGTCTTATTTCCACATATATCTTGGAATTAGTTAATCAATATCATCATAAAGACAAGGCAAAGCCACAGTCCTGGGGTCAGAAAAGGCACTGGGCCACCTGTGTCCAATTCTCCACTGCATAGGCCGCTCCCTACTGGGCCCTTTGCTGCCTCTTAAGGTGCCACACAGCAGAAGGCACGGTGCCTCTTCCTGGCACTCTAAGGCCCGGGCCACGGGCTCCCTGCTACAACCACTCGGCTGTCGAGGGTCACTATCTCAGCACAGGGACAGCCACAGGGGCCGGCACACCTCAGCTGGCCTGCTATCCGTGATGTGTCTATGGGGCTTCCACAGACTGTGCAGCATCTCAGAATCCTTTAAAGGCATTTCGTGGAGGACTCCATTGCTGCTGAAGGAAATGAATGGGCTGCTGCAGGCTGACCTTGTTCCCAGCACCCTGACAGAGGCACTTGTCCACTTCAGTGACTCACCTGAAAATCTTCTCAGACTTCTGAGCTCCCAAACCAGCTTCGGCAAAAAGAAGGTAGCTCTCTCCCCGTGTGCTCCTTTCCTCAGCTCAGTGCTGGAGGACCTCAGTGCAACACAGCGACAGCCTTGGACCCGAGGTCTCTGGGAAAGGTCCCCAGGCCTCACCGTCGCACACAGCGTTCTGCTGCAGATCTCCCATGCAGACGCTCTGTCAGGTCTGCTGGGGATCACATGCTCCGTCTCGCTCATTTGTGAATGTGAACCACGATATGTTTATTAGAATGATGAAAGAGCTTTGTACTCTGGGACTGTGCCCAAACGTGGTAGAACCCATTTCCTTTCAAATGTCACAGTTTGATGATACTTTGGGTTCTTACATCCACGTTCACACAGGAAAGGTACTTGCTGCCACTTGGGACTACTGTGGCAAGAAGCTAGCTCATCACTGGACTGAAAACCCTCTAGTATGAAAAGCGTACCTCAATTTCATGCTGCTTCTTTTTCTCTTCAAACTGTAATCGTCTCTGCAGTTCTTCCAGAGCAGCTCTGTATATTGCATCTTGAGCATTCTGAAGCTCAATAATCTGGTCAAACACAGCTCTGAGTTGGTTTAAAAGTACCTAAAAAGATATGACCATTTTTTTTTTTTTAAATCACAAGAACATTGATGTGCTGCTAAGCTTCCTGAATCTCTAGTGAGACAGAAAGACACTTGGTTTGGATGTGGTCTGTGCCCTCTACAACTCACGCTGAAATCTGGTCCCCAGCCTAGCAGTGCTGCAGGTGGAGGGGCTGTGAGAGGCGCTTGGTCCTGAGGTCCCACAAGGAGAGGACCGTGCTGCTCTGTAGGAACTGGAGGTGTCTTACAGGACTGAGCACCCACTCTCACAGGCCTGAGTTGTCCTGAACCAAGCACACCCCTCGTGTTCTGTCCCTCCCACCTGTGCCCACTTGAGCTGCTCTTGCAGCAGGTTGTAACACAGCACGAGCCCCTCACCAGATGTAAAAGAGATGTGAGCACCACACCACTGGACTTGCAGCCTCCAGAATCATGGGCCAAAACAAACCTCCATTCTTTATAAATCATCCCATTTCAGGTTTTCTATTACAGCAACAGAAATATGGACCAAGACAATACTATCAAGTAAGTCATCAGCCCAAACTCTCCAAGTGTTCGTTCACCAAATACCTACTACTGATCAGCACTGCATGAGGTTCTGGCAAAACACTACTTCTGCACTTAAAATCATCTACGGTTTGGGCTGGAGCTGTGCTCAATGGTACAGTGCAGGCCTAGCATGTGCGAGGCACTGGGTTCCATTCTCAGGACCACATATAAATAAATAAAGTCCATTTACAGTTTAAAAAAATTAAAAAAAAAAAAAAACTTCTATGGTTTGAAGATGGCTTGCCCCCCAAAATGCAAGTGTTGGAGAACTGGTCCCCAACCTGTCAGTGTAAAGTTGTGGGGGCCTTTAAGAGAGGCCCAGGCCATTAGAGGGATTGATGTCTCCCGAGACCAGACTCATCGTGGCAGGAGCAGGCTCTTATGAAGCAGGTCAGCTCTCACGTCCCTCTCTTCCACACACACCACTTGCCCTTGCAGTTCCTGCCAGGAACTGAAGTTGCATGTGGCCCTCACCAGAAGCCAAGCCCAAGCAGGTGCCATGCTCTCAGACTTCCAGAACCCAAAGCTAAATGAACTCTTTTCTTTAAAGTCACCCCCTCAGGTATTTTGTCATAGCAACTAAATACTATTCTGATGAATTATCAAGCTCTCCATGCAAATTCTCTCAAATTCTCACACCAATCCAACAGAAACATTAGACCTAGTGATGGTAAATACCTTTTTAAAACATGCTTGCACATGTGCACACAATATGGCTTTTGATTACTTTCAAGTAGCACCAACAACCGTGTGCCAGTCACTATGATGAACATTCCACATAGATCACATAACTTCACTCTTGCACATCTGCTGAAGAGAACCAGTATGCCATTTAAACCGGAAGAGCGCCACAGTCGAGCAATGCAGTGGAAGTCCAGCCCTGGCCTGTCCCTGGCAAAGCCGTTCATCTGTCTGACTGTGGCCACCTGGCCTGCTAATAGTGCTCGTGACTGAGGCACACGGCAGCAAGGCCTCCCGCGGCACTGCATGCTCTCCAGCCACAGCCACATAGTGGGCCATGTGCTGAGGGTGTTCCCGACACCCTCTAAACAGCACACACACCGCCCGACAGCCCAACAGCCCAACACCCGCTACAATCTCAGCCCAACAGAATAGGTCTCGTGATGGTAAAAGGGGTCACAAAGCCAGCAACCCTTTAGAATAACACGCTTTAAATTACTAGGTATATTCCAAGTACTTTAGACTACCTTTGTTGTTACTTGAATTGTTTCTAAGACACTGTTTACAGAAGACTCTTTGAGCTTGGCATGTTTTAGGTATGTGATCAATAGTTGTTTGGTAGTGAAGTTTAGTGTTATCAAAACCCTGTCTTCTCAGCTATGCTTGTCTAATCTAGACACTCGGATGTCCAGGCAAAATGAGAGCTGTAAAGCAGGACGTCCCCACAGCAGGACCTTGAGGTGAGCACAAAGGCTCTGGGAGCAACCCTCGGCTATCTGTGATGGTACCAAAGAGGCCACTTAACCTAAGAAAGACACCGAGGCTTGGGGCCTGTGCAGCTCATCTGCTGCAGGTAAAGCAGCATGCTCTTCCCTGCCCAGGCCCGGTGAAACCAGACCTCCAGAGAGACCTGCTGCAGGGAACATGCCACCCCAGGACAGGAGCCCCCGGGAGAAGACAGCTTGCAAAAGCTTAAGGCCGTGGGAATGCAGGGCCCTCGTCAGGCAGTCTGCTCACTGCATGAAGCCAGACACTGGCTCAGTGAAGGCCCATGTGAGACCATTGTCCCTGGACTGACAGTGACACGGCTGGGAGGTGGCTCCATAGCACAGCACTCGCCTCCACGTCAAGGGCACTGGTCCACCCAGCACTGCAACAGACGAGAGAGAGAAGCAGCACCCTAACGCAAAGGCTCCTGCTTCCTTTGCATACTGTCTGGGACTTGGGCACACGCCACTGGCCATCTGTTCTCTCGGCGCCTTGTGTGGTCTACCGTGTGTTCCCACAGCGGAGCATGGCTCAGGACACGTCTCCTTCTGGACCACACAGGGGTCAGCCTGCCCGCCATGCTCCACCAGCCTCAGGCACATCACAGCATGCTCTTCTTCCACCCACTCTCTTCCTATTCTGTTTTTGTGAGCCTCAAACATCACTGAATTGCTGCCGACGACGTGGCCATATGATTCTAAGGTGCTCCGTCTAGCACCTGCTATCCTCCTGGGGCCTGTCAGTCAGCCTTACCCTGGAGCCACTGTCCAGCAGGCAGCGGGAGGTAATGGTGTCCAGGAAGGCCTCATGCGCTGCGATGATGTGGTCCAAGTCCTGGGCCTGCTGGACTCGGTTCCAAAGCTCGTCCCAGGAGCATTCCAGCACCTGCAAATGACAAATTCAGGCTTTTGGGTATGCCAGGTTCTTCCTGTTGCAGGAGTCTGCATTACTAATTCAGACTACAGTCAGCAGGACGGTCAGCATACCTCGAATGTGATGTAATACTGCATCTGATGAATGAAGTGCACCATCTCCGAGGCCAGAATGTGACACTGATGCAGCACCCCAGAGAGCTCTGCAGAGAAGACAGTGTGATCACAAGGGGCATCGAGGACAGCCAGCCAATGGTTTTAACAAGGCCCTAGCTTTAGCAACCAACCCTATAGCAGGAAACCACCTCCCATCGTCCATTTCTGAGCTCGGAAAACGCAACAGGACGGGGCGCCTGCTCGAGTAGTGCATCTCTCCTCCAGACAGAAGGGCCTGGTGGGAAGGGCACCAGATAGACCACACACAGCTGGCTTTATAAAAATGCAGTGCCATGACTAAGCACAGCTCTAGTTCACAGCTTCTTCACAGCAGCCTGTCTGCTATGCACAGAGTACTAACTACTCCCCAGCTATTTGGAGACAAAAAAGGAACTTCTTTAAGGACTGGGGGACCGTGTCACCTGTAAGGAAGATGGCCTCTGAAGGTGTCACGGTGCAGCAGACCTCTGTGCTTCCTGTGAAACTGAAGACACTGTCACAAGGCTGAAAGGTCACCATGGAGTAAAGCTCTCTGCTTGCACTTTTAACTTCCTGCTCAAAATCATGCCAGAACATTGTCACACTAATGCATGTGAAACTGAGCCAGATGGGGCCACCAGCAGAATGGCTGAGAGGACAGCTGCATGGGCAAGCTGCACACACCTCTGCTGCCTCTCCGCAGGCCCTCACTTAGCTGCCAGACGCAGATCTGTCACGCAGGCAGCTGTGCAAGAACTCAGCGCTGCTCCTCCTTCAGAGAGCAGAGCAGGAGCAGAACAGACACGATGCGGTAACAGCGGCCACACGCACGCCAGAACCGCTCCCTCTGTCACGCAAGGTGAGGATGCAAGGGGGCCCTAGTCCAGTTTGCGTCCCCTTAAGAAGACAGAGAGACACCGGGGGAGACGATGTCCGTGTGACGGCAGAGGCAGAGACTGCCAACATCCCCCAGTGCAAAGGTCAGGAGGGCCTCCCGACAGCCTCCGAGCAGCTGGCCTGGCTGCACCTTCCTTCTGCGCTCCTGCCTCCAGATCTGCGACCCAGTTTGTGATACCTGATCCCGCAGCTCCAGGACACAAACGCACAGGGGACCAGCGATGTGGGATGGCGCCTCCCAGGGAGGCACTACTGCCAAAGGAAAGAAGCCCCTTTCTGCAGGCCAAGGTTAGGGCCCTGAGGGTCTTCTGGAGCCCTGCTTTATCAGCACCATGTGGTCAGGGGAGGAAAGAGGGAGAAGTGACCGAAGTTTCATAAAATACAAACTCTTCAACAAATGACAAGCATCGTACATAAACTGCACGAATGCCATGCAAACAGACTACAGCACCAAGTCCTACAACCTGATCCTCACGCCTCGCTGAGGGAGACACAGGGGCGTAGGCTGCCAGAGCAGGGTGGCCAGGGAGGAGGTCTGGGCAGGGCCAGAACAAAGGAGCACAAGAGGGTCTTCTGATGAGGCCAACTTTCTGCCTGAGGAAAGTGCTCGCAGACATAGGCGGGGTCCCAACCAGACAGACACTTCTGTACCTGCACTCCTAAGCAGGGAGACGGATAGAAAAACTAAAACAGACACGTGGACAGAGAGGCACCAATCAATAATAGTGAGGAGAGCATGGACAGGGAGGAGATAAGGAAAGGAAAGAGACCATAAAAAGAACTGGCCAAAACTCCCCACTAGACTCCCAATTCTCTGCTAAACAGAGACAACCAACCCAGCATCCCCAGACAGTAACAGTGAGTGCAGCCTGAGATGAGCCAGCCACGTGCTTGGAAAATGGCAAGAGAAAATGCAGAAGCAGATGTCACTCAGCTCTAGGAATCTGGGCCTCAGGAGCTGGACTCTACAACACTGGAGGGCCAGGTGGCCCGAGAGCAGAGCCGAGGAACCCTGACGCAGACGTGGCACACGAGCACTCCTCTTGTGAGAGAGAGGTGCGAACCCCTGAATGCACGGAGGAGGGTTAAAAAGCCAGACTTCAAAGACGAGCAGAATCTACACTCAGGGAGATGGGAGACCTGCACCCGGAGGGACACGATTAACAACACACTGCAACCTTTCTGGGGCTCAGACTCACAGAAGCACTGACACGCTGACCCTCAGGCCACATGTGTGGGAGGTAGGAACCTGACCAGTGGCCTGTCCAGTAGGTCTCTGCATGCACATGCCAGCCTGTCTCATTCCACAAGAACCCTGCGCTCTAGGGCTCACGGCGCATCCTCTCCAGAGCTGGGACGTGTCTGTGAAACACAGCCAAGATCCTCTTACAGAACTCCACAGGTGCCTCAGTGCTCCTGCCACAGCCCAGACAGCTGAACACGGCGAGCTGGCTTCCACCAGCAGAGCAGTCTCACCTCTGCGCACACCACAGTCCCTGCCAGCATCCCACCTGCTTCTCTTCATCAGTGAGCCATCCACACCAGACATCCTCCCGCTGCTCGGATGGACGTCCACGGACGCGGGAAACACACGTCCAAGGCCCAGGTGCAGTTTCCAGCCCAGCTGAAAGCCCCAAGCAGAGACTGTGCTGACTTTCACTAAGAAATAAGCTCCATTCCAGCTCAACTTAGTTCTCAACTTGTAAAGGCAGAGACACGTGCTCTGAGTGGTGTTCAGCTACATCATGGGTTAGTAAGCTTCTAAGGGAAAGAGCCACCATCTGCAACTCCAGGTTTGGTTTCAGCCAAGCCTCATCACCTTGAGTTACTGGTCTGTGATGTGTGTCCACAGCCTGGCGGTCAACTGTGTCCATTCAAACACTCCACGTGTCCAGGATACACAGTTCTCTGGTGCCCAAGTCACGTGAAATAGTTCAGGTGCTATTTGTAAAAGGTTTCCTTGCGTTCTACATTCTATCACAGATGCCTGGTGGGTTTCCCCACTAATAAATATGCCGCCTGGTGTCCTTCCTGAGGTCTGCCTGGGACACCTATACCTGACCACCTCTCTACCTGCAGCGAAACAGAACCCCTGAGCACAGTTCTGACACATCCCAGTGGCACCACCCTTACTCCCCAGCACAGTCACAGTCGACTGAGCTCTCCCGACAGCTGCCCAGGGAAAGCTTCGCAGGACCAACAAAACCAGACAACATCATGTGCCTTCAGGCTGATGCCGAGCAGGCTGCTCTGCCCCCATCTAGGGGACCCCGTGTTTCTGAGTGGGCCACTCCCCCCAACACCCTGTCTGGGGGACCCCGTGTTACTGAGCGGGCCACACTTCCCCCCCAATCTAAGGGACCCTGTGTTACTGACAGGCCACACTTCCCCTGTCTCTGGACCATCTGTGACTAAGCAGGCCACACTTCCTCTGTGTCAGAGACCCTTTGTCTGTTACAGAAACAAACATTTTTTTTGTAGCTGTTCTCCATTTTTTAGTTCCAAGTTAATTTTCCACACAGATTGGAAAAGTGCAATTCCGGGAAAGCTCAGGTTTGCATTGCGCTTCCCAGTCTGCACTGACAGAGATCCTCCCAGAGGTCTTCCCATGGAGTCACACTGCCCATCAGTACCACAGTATCTGCGTGACATGTCAGAGTTCAGGACCAGCTACACATTTATTCTGAGATTTACACACTTTACTTTTCAGGCATGAATTTTTCTCTGGTTTTCAAGTCCTTCTGAAAGTAGGATTAAATATGGATTAAATCATGAATCCTATGTTACAATCTCTGAATTTCTTGGATGCATAATTTCTCCACTACTAATTACGTTCTACATTCATTAATGCCACTGCATTTAGAAACGAAAAGGTCACTGGGGATGCTGACATCAATACCTGGGCCTGTGATCCCTCCGTGCTCCAGGCTGGGCACACAGGCAGTGGGCGCTGCTCCTCGCTGCTCCTCGGAGGCGGGAGAAAAGGGGATGTCGCTAAACTGCAGTGTTTGGCAGTCAGAGTGCGGAAGCCCAGAAACGTGGGTACGCTGAGCACAGAAGGGTGAGTCCCCTGCAGCCCAGCAGCGCTGGCTCAGCAGAGGGAGGGACACACGGCCAGCAAGGCAAGGTGCGCCACGGAAAACCTGAGATCGGAAAGCAACCCGAGCTCAGCTGACCCAGAGCTTCACCTTGAACTGGTGTTTGGAAAGTGCACTGCGATTCCCACCTGGCTGCAGAGGGCTGGGATGGAGCCATTCTGAGGCGGACACACTGTGACAACTGCTGCGGAGCCTCGAGGTCACACTGTCCCAGCAAGCACCTGTCCTGGGGCCTAGAGTACCCAGCAGAACACGAGTGAGACAGGCACAGAGGAGACTGCAGCCAGGGGGTTCCAGGTGGAAAAGGGAAGGAGAGTCCACTCCCTTGTCCTTTGAGGCTGGTGGCTCATGTGTCCAGAAGAAATGGGCAGGAATCTGAACAGGCAGGTGTGGACGCTCTAGGGACTAAGCCTGGGGAGGCTGTGGCCGGCAGCAGAGTGTGTGGAGAGTTGGCTCCCCTGCTCACTCTCGCAACCCGGTAGAATTCTTAGGCGGCTCCCAAGACCCAGACTCCAGACAGGCTCTAGGATCTAATCTGATCTAATATGCTGATCTAATCTCTCCAGAACAACCCCACCCGGCTTGGCCTGAGGCCTGAGCAGAGCTAAGCCCCAGCCCCTGCACCTCCCCTCGCAGAGCCCTGCAGCGGCCCCATCAGGAAGTGCACAGATCAGCGCAGACACAGCGTCCACCTCCTCCTCCTCTAACCCCGCACTGCGCGCTCCAGTCCACACCACTCTGCACACAGTGGCTCACACTCATTGTCAGCACCCAGAGCCCCTTCCCTGACCTACACCTGTGAGAGGACAACGTGGATGCCATCACCTCTGGACCTTCTCCAACCCGTCTGTCTGAGGCCTCCCATTTTGACTCCTACAGTACTTTCCTGAGCAAAATCACAAACCAGGTATTTTAAGTTCCTATCTCGATGTCTGTCATATCCTTCAGGCAACAAACTTCCTTTTCTGCCATGTCCATCATGGATACCAGAACCGGGCGGTGCCACGCAGACCTCACAGTTGCTCACTGAATGGATGGGGATCTGCACCCACCTGTACCCTGACCACTCAAAC